AAGGCACTAATCACACACGCCTGAATGGATTGGCTCTCCCTTGGGAAAAACTGGTAGTTCTACTCTTTAGAAATGTAGGAATACTGCTTTTCATAGTGAGAGAGAATCTCAGAGATTTGCTGGTATGATGACACAATTTCCCAAGTGATTCTCAACAGCCAAAGTTCTATGGGTGAGAATTCCCTGACATCTGACCTAGAAGGTCTGGGCCCTGTGAGACCATCTGGAGCTGAGCCTGCAGGGAGATGGGATCCCAGGGGAAGTCCACAGGAAGCAACCCTGGAGAACAGCAGGGAGAAGGGGGAGAAGCCCTGGGCTACAGAAGGAAACAAAGACGACTTCATGATACATGGAATACAGTCGATTTGTTCAATGCAATGCAAGACAAAATCATTTTACTCAAAGGAAAGCAAGCCTTTATTCTGACCATCTCCTCCAGTGTTTTCTCAGGCTGTTTGCTTGCCATATACTCATGGATGGGACCCTGACGGTCATCAGGCCTGAGAAGGAAGGGCCTGTCATCCCTCTCCCACACCCAGAGGCAAGCGTGTGTGTGACAGACAATAGGGACTGACTTGTGGTGAGGAGGGTTGGGCCCGCCATGCTGGTGTCCTATATAAAGGCTGCTGAGTGTCCCTGCTGGTGCGCCTGGGAAACCAGTGGAAGATAGTCCAGGTACGAGGCTCTTGCTACTCATGTGAGAGATTTGGGTGAAGCGCCAGGTTCCTGGCTCCAGCCTGGATCAGCCTGAGTCATGGAGGCCACTTGGAGATTGATCCAATAGATGGAAAAGCTGTTGCTCCATTTTTCTATACCTCTGCCTCTCTCTTTCTCTCTCTCTCTCTCTCTCACACACACACACACATCTTCCAGAGAGACACAGAAGCAGAAAAGAGCCATAAAACAGGAGGAACAAGGGTTAGGCTGCTGCTTCGCATGGCTCCACCCCACATAGCAGCGTCTGTTAGACCCGGCCACTCTACTTGCAACCCAGCTCACTGCTAATGCACAAACTGGAAAGCAGAGGGTAATGGCCAGAGCCCTTTGGCTCCTGTCACTCAAGTGGAAGACCCAGATGCAGTTCCTACCTCCCAGCTTCAATCTGGTCCAGCTGCAGCTGCTGCAGGCATCTGAGAGTATGAGCCTGCCTGTAGAAGATCTGTCTTGCTCTCTGTTTCTGTCACTTTGCCTCCCAAATAGATAAAAATAATAAACATTAAAAAGAAGCTACACGGGAGGAGCAGCTTGGGATGAAGACTCTGAAGGATGCAAACAGGGATCTATGAGAATACAGATGAGGGAAGAGCAGGCACAGAAATCTGGACAGGAAATGGCTTGATGTGTACACGGAGCTTTCAAAAAGGTCATGGGAAATGTATATTATGAAAAAAACCTGTGTGATTCCAAAAACTACAGCAAAATAAACTTTTACTTACACTTTCCACAGACTTTCTGAAGTACTTTCATAAGGGAGAAAAGTACCCTCAGTGTGTCTGAGGGCTGATGACAGACTGGAGGGAGGGCGGCAGGAGAAATTGATGACAGCCTATTAACACTAATTATCAATAATGTGCACGTTAGCCCACAGGGGTCAAACCTGTTCCATATTATTCATCAACAGCATGGGTCCGGCACAATGACTCAACTGGTTAATCCTGTGCCTACATGAACCAGAATCCCTTACGGGCGCTGGTTTGTGTCCCAACTGCTCCACTTCCTGTCCAGCTCCCTGTTTGTGGCCTTGGAGGGGAGTGGAGGATGGCCCGGGGTCTTGGGACCCGGTGTCCGGGTGGGAGACCTGGAAGTGGTTCCTGGATCTTGGCTTCAGATAGGATTGGTTTAGCTCTGGCCTCTGTGGTCATTTGGGGAGTGAACCAGGGAATGGAAGATCTTTCTCTCTGTCTCTCCTCTCTGTAAATCTGCCTTTCCAATAAAAATAAATAAACCTTTAAGATAAAAAAAAAATTAAGAAAAATAGGAACCCACTTAAATCCTCACAGGGCCTCTATGATGCCATTACTTCCATTTTGCAGCTGAGCAAGCTAACCACCAGAGAAGTTAAGGAATCTGTCCAAGGTCGCACAGGTGTCCCAGAGCCAAGCCTGGGTTCCCACACGTCCTGGTGCTCAGGCTCCAGTTGGGCTCTCCACCTTTGGCTAAACTGCCTCTCAATGAAGTTGAAGAGCAAGTTTGGCAACATCCAACCTCTTCTGAAACATTTCCACAGAAGAGAGAGCAAGAGGGGTAATAATTAACTCTAAGCCTGTGGCTGCCTAGAGCACAAGATGTTTCTAATTGGGTGGAATAAGAAACTTGGGACAGATCCCAAACAGAGCCTTTCATTGGAATGACTGCCAGGACTGCAGTACGACACAAGTGGTAGGACGTACAGGAAGGAAAAAAATGTCGTCCTCCAAGCTTTCAGGCAGATTTTCAAGGAGAAGGCGACACAGAAGTTGGCACCTTGACATTAGTGCATGAGTCCCAGCTATTGATCCCTGAAGCTGGGGTTACAAAGGAACCTGGGTAATCAAGCTGTAACTTCCGGAAGAGAAAGACATCTTGATTGAGTCATGTTGCTAGGACTTGGATTTCCATCACAAGCAACATGAGCAGGTGACAGCTCATGCTTAGCAGTGAGGTCCTCACCAGGGTATCTGCCCTCTCCAGGGAAAGGACTGCCTGCCTGCTGACTCCAACCTGAAACAGGGGTTTTATTTTTCCATGACTGTCTGCACTTGGGACGAAGCTTTTCACTGGGCACAGTTCTTAAGCTAACCACGTAAAACCTCACTTTTTTTTTTTTTTTTGGTCAAGAGTGTATGAAAACACTGAAGTCTTAGAATCCAGGTTCTAGTTAATGAGCAAACCCACTCCAGAAAGCAGAGGGCAGCAGTGCCAATTCTAAAAGCTGAACTCCTTCCCGGTGCTGGAAGATGCACTTGTCAGATGCTCCACTGTCGCTTTTCCTCCCTCAAGGGCAGACAGGCTCATACTGTGAGATCTGTGGTTTTACACAGCAAGAATCCTGATGGAAACCATGAAGCTCATGTTCAGCAGAGTAATATATTCATCAGCAGAATTAATAAACGCAGTTGTAAAAACAGTATATTTTACTAAAGAAACACTGCTTTAAAATGCTAAATGGCTCTTGGCTAACTGCAGCCAGCAATGGTATTCTAAATATAGATTTAGAACATTGAAACATAAACACAGGAAACAGTATGTTTAAATACAGCTAGACATGTACAAGACACTAAATTACCCTAAAATGTTTAAATCAACGGATCCCATTTGCTAGAACACCCTCCAATGGTTCACAACAGCGGGGCTCCTGAACTCCATCTGGGTGTCCCCTGCGGGCGGCAGGAACCCGGGCACGTCCGTATGGGACACAGACATCCTAAGCAGTGTCTCTGAACCAAGGCCCCAAATGCCTGCCTCTAAATTTCTTTGGATTGATGGGCCTGACAGTAGCATCTCTCTGGACAGTAGGCACAATTCCTCTTTCCTGTGCGTTCATTGTCAGTGCTAACCCTGAGGCAAGCAATTTCGGTTTCAGGATCCCATCTCCTTAGAGGCTGGGCAGGCAGGACAAAAATCTAAATAAGGGGCGAGACTGTTCTCCAGGTTTGTCCCTTAACCTAGGGAAGCCCCTGCAGCAGCGTTTCTTTAGCTGGTCATAGTGTCCTACCGTTTTATATATAGTAACATTGGCTCAAAGATAAAAATCACTTGACAAAGTTTTCTATTTCTGTAACATTGTGTCAGGAGGGAAGCCTAACAGAACGTCTCTCCTCCCATCAAAGTGATTTGTTTGGATGTTAGATGTTACTTTAACTCCTTAGTCCAACTCCCGTGAGAATAAACGTTGTAGGTCCCCAGACTCAGCTTCTAGTCTCTCATTACCACCTTCACTGAAGCACACCCCGCCTATAACCACTTTCCACAAACTACAGGCGCCAGGTGAGTCACTCATTTCCCTGGAGAAACCCTTGCTCCAGCGCCAACCCAGGAAGCATCTAAAAATCTGCAGCTATTCCCAAGACCACACCTCAGGCCCGCAGCTTGCGCCTCTGCAGAGGCGGCCTGCTCCTCCCCTATCTTTCCAGGGCATTTCCTTTTCCCACTTGCGGGATTCAAGTCCTCCCTAACCCGCCCCATCTTGGTTACTCTAGGCTACAATGCAGCCAGTAAAAGTCGTGACTCCCAGGGAAAGTATTAGTAGCCACCATTTGGGGGGAATGACTCACTAACGAGTCTCGCGTTCCTGCCACCGCCCTGCAGCTGCCTTGGGCAGGGTGACACGAGATCAAAGAAAATGTCTGAAACCCAAGAGATACCTACAAAGCAGATACCCTCTCCCGGGTCACTTCTTTTCTTGCCTCCCCTCCCCGCCCCCAGGGGTATGCTGTCTCAGGCAGGGGCGGAGAGGAAAAGGGTAGGAAATGAGCCACTTGCAGGTCTCTGCAGGCGGGAGCAAAACAAACATAATTCCCTCCAGGCTCTCCCGCGAGGTCCCTAGCAACACATCCAAGTGCAGCAGCAGTCACCGCAGTGCCCCGGGCCACTTCAGCAACCCGTGTTAGCGATCAGGCCTGCAGCGGCCCGGCTCGCCCATCCTCTGCACCAGAGCTGCACGCAGCTGGCAAGGTCAGGTGAACTGCGCGAGGCAGAAAGAGGGAGCCCAGGGGAGAGGAGGAGAAGCAAAGAGCAAACCGAGGAAGGGCTGAGCTTGGCAGCATCCCCGAGTTACATGCAGCGAGATCCGCTTTTTGGACTCTCCGAACCCACACCATCGAAGAGGGGAGGAGACGGGGCAGGTGGAGGACGAAAGGGCCTGACATGCACAGCTTCAGGGTTCTGATCAGGCAGGGGCTGGGGATATGAGAGCAAGCGAATTCTCCACTCAGCTCCAGGCAACGCAGGAGCTCAGGCCCCTCTGCCCTTCTCGCTCACGGCTGGGGGGGTCCGTGCTGCCCGCGGGTGCATTCACTCACCGAGGTCTCCTTTGCAAGGCTGTTGCAGAACGGTGCGGCGCAGCACAATGTGGGTGCGTCGTCCTTGGCTTCCGGCAGACGGAGCGGCGCTGGGCGGGGCCGGGCGCTGGGCCGGCCCTCTGCTGGGCGGGGCGACGCATGGCCACGCCCCCGGCGGAGCTCCCCCCAGCCGGGCGCGCTCTTACAGGTGCCAGCCGGGCGGCGGAGGGCGCGCGCTCCCTCAGATGTCCGCGTGCTTGCCCCTAACGTGTGTAAGTCCACTGCCAACCACCTTCGTGGGCGGTCGCCTTCCTCAAGGCTCTGGGCAGGTGCTCCCCTCTCGCTGCATGGGGTTTGCGGAGCGGAGGTACGCTAGCAATTTATCCCCAGTGGAGCCGCCGTAGCACGGCTGTGGGCGCTCAGCGGTCCAAACAAGGCGCGGAAATAGGAACACGCAGGTTTCACGTGTCCGGGGCGCGGGAGCGCGGGCGTGCAAGGTCTGAAGAGGTTTTAGGGCTGCCAGGGCGTATGAATTCCCGTCAGTAATCCTTACTGTGGTGCTGCAGAGGGTCAGGGCCCACTTCGGCCCGACGTGGGCGCGCGCCCTGGCCTGGGCCGCCTGCTCGCTGCCCGAGTTTTGTCTGCCGGACTCTCAGAACGCGGAGGGTGGGCGCCGTCGTGGCGGGGGGTGGCCTGGAAGCGGAGCTGGGCTGGTCCCCGGAGAAGAACGTGCCCAGCATGCTGCGAACTCCACGAGGGAGCTGCGCCCAGGAGGCGCCCCTTCCTCCGGGCACCCCAGCCCTCTCATGGTGTGCCATGCGCAGGCCCTGCACGAGTGACCGCTCTGGGGGCTTTTCCACGCAGGTGGAGGGCTTGGAGCCTCATCATTATAAGGTGTGGGAAGGCAGGAGTCGCTGGGTGTGTGCCCCTTTTTATTGGGCTGTCATATGTGCACGTGTAGGCGTGCTGTGAGGCTTATAAAACTTTTACTGTTGCTGTTTCAGCAATTCTAGCCATTCTCATGCTTTCACCTCTGCAAGGTGTTATGATCTGGGGTTTCTGGCGTGTTGAGGGAACAGGGCACAGGTTTTGACTGAACGTTGAGAGGAAGCAAATAGGAAAAGATGTTTCTGCGATACCAGTGGAGGTTATGTGGAAGCCAGTCACAAAATGGAGTCACTTTGGTTCAGGCCTGTGTAAGTTTGCTAGCCTGCTCTTTATGCTTCTGTATAAAATGCTTTGCCAGCTTCCCCCACTCTTTTTTTTTTTTTAGAAGCAGAAGGTACAACACGTGCTGCCAGTAACCCTGATTCCCACAGCTGCCTCTCATGGCGGTGCAACTCACTTGGTTCCCATAGCTGCCTAACTCACCTGTTCTATTAAAAAAACCTTCTAACTCTCATCCCGGGGTCTCTCTCTGAAACAAAGGAGAGCTGACCCCAGCCGGCGGTCTGTTTACCTGCCTCTTCAATAAACTGGTGCTCAGCGGAATTGTCTGGGCTGTACTTCTTGGGGAGAGGCTCGGGTTGGATGCACTAATTGTTTCCCCCCCCCCCCTTGCCTGCTGTTTGTACATGAAAAGGCAGTCTGGGATAGTAAGAAATGATTGAAAAATCAGGATGCTTCCGGCTTTTCTTTTTCCCAGCTCTCTCTGGATCGCAGAACCAGCAAATGTTCTTGTTCTCTGTAACTTTCAAGATAAATACATCTTTCTATAAACAGTCTCACTGGAACCAGTGTGTGGCATCGAGGGTAAAGCCATCGTCTGTGACGCTGGGATCCCATGTGGAAATGGGGTTGTGTCTCAGCTGCTGCCTTTCTGATCCAGCTCCTGGTAGTCTGAGAAAAGCAGTGGAAGATGACCCACGTGGTTGGGTCCCTGCTGTCACAGGCGGGACCCTGATGAAGCCCCTGGCCATTTTTGCCACTTGGGGAATAAACCAGCAGAAGGAAGATCTTTCTCTGTAACTTTTTAAGCAAATAAAAGTCTCATTCCACGGGGACCTATATTGTGGCACAATGGGTGACTTGCAGTGCTGTCACACCTTACCAGAGCGCCCGTTGGCATCCTGGCTGTTCTGGCTACTCTGCTTCTTATCCATTCCTCTCTGATGTACCTGGGAAGGCAGTGAATAATGGCCCAAACAGTTGGATTTCTGCCACCAGTGTGGGAGACCAAGTTGAAGTTCTAGGTTCCTGGCTTTGATTTGATGCAGCCGTTGCTGTTGTGGGCATTTGTAGAGAAACCAGCAGATGGAATATCTTTCTCTGGCTCTCCCTCACTCTCTAAAATTCTGCTTCCAAAAGAATACATCTTAAAGCAATCTCATTCTAAAAGCCTCGTTTTGGAAAAATACAGAAACGTCCCAAAGGACACACGCGTGTGCAAGCATGCACACACACACACACACACACCATGATTCACAGTACGTAGTGTTTTGTGATCAGCTTGTCCACTTCATATATTGTATATGACTTTTCATTTCTTAGTTCATTCTGCAACGTTATTTGACGATGATCACATGTTGTTTCGTAGCATGGGCACGGCAGTTCTCATCAGAGCTGGCTTGTTTTCAGTCTTATGACTGGTTCTACTTAACCTTAGTAAATTGATATGTTTATGATAATTTGGCTAAATGCTTTCAGGGTCAAAGAACACAGACTTTAAATGTCATTTAATATGTGTTAACAAGACACTCCAAGAAAATATAATATTTCCCAGTAGTGAATATTCACTGAAAAGGCGTGGCACAGTGGTTAGCTGCTGTGTGCAGTGTTAGCATGAACACTGTTTCGAGTCTCAGCTGGCCTAATTCTAATCCAGCTTCCTTTTACTCCACCTTTGAGAGCGTTAAATGATAGCCCAAGCACTTGGACCCTTGCTACCCATAGAATAGATTTGGGTGTTAGGCCCCTGGTTTCAGCCTGCCCAGCCCTGACCATAGAAGCTGTTCGTGGACTAAACCAGGAAATGGGTGATCTCTCTCTCACTCTCTCTTTTTGTAACTGCCTTTCAAATAAATAAATCCTTAAAAGGTAGATTCTCCCGTTAATTAACAAATGGGAATAAACCTTGCCTCACCAGGTTATTGTGCAGTTCAAGTAAAGTGAGGACCAAGAACTACACAGAAGTCTTGCATCTTTTTTGTCTCAAGATAATGTAGTCGGCAAGGCCCATTGCAACAGCATGATTTACTGTGGCACACATTGGCTTGGGAGTGCTCTGCCCCTGTTTCACTCACCATTAATGCCTTCTCCATTACAATCTGGCTTCTTCTACAGACTGCTCTCTCGAAGGTCACCCTTTGCTCTGTGGGCTTTATCTTTGGATTCGCAAATGCTGCTCTCCCCTCATTCGTTCCTTTGTTTTCTCCTGTGCTTCTCTATTTCCCTGCCTTCTTTTTAAGAAATCCTGTTTATTTGAGACACAGACATACCACACACAAAGGAGAAAGGGAGAAAGGAAGCTCCTGTCTACTGGTTCACTCTGCAAATGTCCTCAACAGCTGGGCCAGAGCAGAGCTAGGAGCCAAGGACTCAGCTTGGGTCTCTCATCATCTGCTGCCTCCAGTTGCCTGCACTGGCAAAGACAGGGATCAAGCCCAGGCATTCTGATACGGTATCAGTGACGTAAGCCTAAGCCAAACACATGCCTTCACCTCTGTATCTATTAAAATGAAGGGCTAGTGTTGTGGCTCAGCAAGGAAGGCAACACTTCATAGCATTGCTGCCCCAGTAGGCTCTGGCTGGAGACCTGGCTGCTCTACTTTGATCCAGTTAGCTGCTAATGTGCCTGGGGAAGCAGTGGAAGATGGCCCAAGTCCTTGGGTCCCTGCACCTATGAGGCAGACTTGGAGGAAGCTCATGGCTCATAGCTCATAGCTCCAGCCTGGCCCAGCTCTGGCTGGTGTGGCCATTTGGGAAGTGAACCAACAGATGGAAGACATCTCTTTGGTTCTCTGTCTTTGTATGACTCTATCTTTTGAATAAATGGATACGTCTTAAAAGAAAACAAAACTCTGAACTGCTGTTTGTTTCTTTCTCTTTTTCTTTTTTGTCTCTTCTTTGATTTCCCTCTTAGTGATTACAAACATTCTTGTGGCTAATTTGGTTTTCTAGGATCCAAATTCCTTTCTCTTTTAAGAAACTGCCTTGGTTTTTAATTTGTTTTGTGAAGGTAGTCGCTACTGCAGTACATAAGTTAAAGTCTGGTTCTCCCTCACCTTCACTTTGGAGGAGCTAAGGCGCCAGACACATGTGCCTTTGGCTTTTCCAGTTATGGTACTTCCAGGACTGTCCCTTGAGACAATGAGCAATAACCTGGGGACATTTGGAGGGCTCATTCTTTGTAGAGGCAGTGGTAGGTGTAACAGACCTTTGTGAACTCAAAAAGGCACTCCTCAGCTCACTTCAATCCTAAATGTTTATTCTGTAGCTACTCCATTCCAGTGTAAGGCATTGGAAGGTGGGACTCACAGGCTGTCTGCATTTCCCTAGTGCCTACAGCAGGCATCCAGTAGCTGTTCATTTCATAAGTGACTGGCCTGTGTTGGTTGCCCGGCACTCTGTACCTCCCAGGGTTCCAGGCTTTTTATGCAGCCTGTACTGGTAGCCTAGGCTAAGGGAGATCATAACCTTCCAAGCAACCTATCTAGCAAGTTACTGAGAGTCAGTTTCTGTTTCATGCGGGAACACCAACTTACAGGTGTCTTATTCTCTGCGTGTCCAACATTACATTCATTGGCTTTCTGATAAAACCTTTGTGTATTTCAGAAAATGATGTTATCCATATAATTACTTTAGCTAGAAACTTGGCATCACTCTGTGGTTCACCCCTTCAGTATCAGTCCTATGGTGGAACCCCCAAAGAGCCATTTATTCAGCTGTACAACTTTGGGAGGCAATTACATATGTTTTCTGAAGCTTATTTTGGCTCTGTATCTGCAGAATTAATAGAGAAGTGTCAGCTTTGCTTGGCTGTTGTGAAGATAGACTTGGGCTTCGGGTCCTCTGGAGGCAGTTAATAACACTGTGTCAACAGCCCATCCCAGGAGGGTCCCTTCTAGTTACTCTGCCTTCCATCTCTGCTGGCCTGGACAAGTGTACAAAAC